GTAAAATCTCTCGAACGATACTCGAAGGATTATTTTAACTCCTTTAAATTTAATTTTCAAAATCAGTTATGGAATGAAAGTAATGAAAGTAATTAATCAGAAAAGATCTATATTATTTGCCAAATTTTATAAAATCTCTCGAACGAAACTCGAAGGATTATTTTAACTCCCTTTAAATTTAATTTTCAAAATCAGTTATGGAATGAAAGTAATGAAAGTAATTAATCAGAAAAGATCTATATTATTTGCCAAATTTTATAAAATCTCTCGAACGAAACTCGAAGGATTATTTTAACTCCCTTTAAATTTAATTTTCAAAATCAGTTATGGAATGAAAGTAATAGGATTAATCAGAAAAGAAAAAGAAAAAAGGAACAAAATTTCTCACCATCCCGTGCTAACGACCAATCATCTCGAGATGCGTCGAGATGCGATCGAATCGAAGTCTCCCCTTCCGTTCTACGTCGTACGAAAAGGGGAACATTTTGACACGATTGAAAAAACTGCGATTTCAAAAGGGAGGGGGGAATAAAATGAATGAATAAATAAGTAAAAAGAAAAAGTAGATTTATCCGCGCCACGAGATTCCTGCTCGTCTAACCTTCTCTCGTTCCTCTTCTCTGCCTGTTACAGTATCCTCGAGCTGCGCAAGGAGAAGAGCAGAGACGCTGCCAGGTCTCGAAGGGGGAAAGAGAACTTCGAGTTCTACGAGTTAGCGAAAATGTTGCCATTACCGGCGGCTATTACCTCCCAGTTGGACAAAGCCTCTATAATAAGGCTAACCATCTCGTACCTCAAACTTCGGGAGTTCTCGGGCCACGGAGACCCGCCATGGAATCGGGATGGGCCACCGCCAAATAAATCTGGCAAAGGTAAGGAGATCGTCATTAACGCTTGATTTTCCTTAATTCTCCACCGATATTTCGCTCAAAAGTCACGATTTTTCTACAACTAATATATACATATATTCGAGAAAAATGGATTTAATCCAGTGGTAAGAAAAAGGATTTAGAAACACGATTCTTCTTTGTTAAACTCGTGTCGCAGACTGGAATTTAATTGAATATTATGCTCGGCGAACAGGAAGAAATGCAATCGTTGTCCCTGAGAAAAAAAAGAAAAGAAAATAAGATATTCTTTCCAACCCTCTTCTAGAAGAGCTGTGGAAACAACACAGATGATTGGACCCCCCCGCTTATTACAAAATGTATCTGCTGGTGATATCTGCTGATGGATCAGTATTTAACCCCGGGAATAGGGGGAGTCGATTCGTTGTTGGAAGATCGACGAGCGTGTAGCGAACGAACCGTGTGTGTCTTTCTTTCGAGTGAAAAATCGATGATTCTTGCAAAATATTCTTTCACTATTTTTTTTCCTTTTCGTAATTTAGAATCAACCGGAGAAATAGAAATTCTTGTCGATTCTTTTTCCAACGGAGATTATCGCGCAATCTGACTAAAATACAACGCGCAAAAATATCCGGAAAAATATCCATTCTCCAGAATCGCAATTAACCTAATCGGGGAAAGGAAGGAGAGGAATCTGAGAATCGTCGAAAATTAATTGCAATGGTATCGTATGCTCGTATCGTCGGCCGTGATAAAGAGGGTGAAAGGAGCGGGGGTGGACGTTGAATCTCGATGGAAATTCACGGTACACCGGTATCGAATTAACCGGACAAAAAGAATTCTTCTTAAGAATTCGCGCAAGCGGGCCAGCAATAGATCGGGGGCCGCGATACCCTTCTTTATAACTGGAGAGTGACCACGCAGCCGGCGCAAGATTCCCAGATACATAGTAATAGAGAATTGTCGGCTATAATCGAACGATAGCATCGCCATTGGTTTTCTTCATTTTCGTGGTTCATTTAACGGAAATGAAAGTGGACCGCCTTTTCGCCCCGAAACATTGAAATGAATCCAACCATTCAGATTCGTTCCCTCATCGGTCAACGAAATTTCACGATGCTACATAGCGAAACATTACGAATCGAAAATAAATTCGTGAAATAATCGTTTCTCAAAAATACACGTACAATTCTACGAGATCATTTCTACGAAAGAGTAGAAGGATCGATTCAACCTCTCAGAGAATCATCTACCGCAATTCCACAATTTTCCCCCCGAAAAAAACCCACAATCATAATAATCCACGATGATCCCCTTTTCCTATCAACCCTTCGTTTCCTCGTTACGCGCAACCAACCCTCTATCCTCTCAAAGATTCCTCCTGCTCGAAAGAAAATCCGCGTTGCAACGAGGCGGAACACGGAAAATAAGGTGGTCGATAAAATTCACTTATTCATTCTCGCTACTTTCGGTGAATCGCACGAGGGGGGTGGCTTGCTTGAGTTAATATTTGTCGTGGCGCGTAAGGAAAGAGAGAGAGAGAGAGAGAGGAGATGGCTGGTTGTACATATAAAGCGGGCACACATAAAGGCTTAGGTGGGTGCACCACTACCTACATGGAAATCTAATCACGGCAACCCCTGCGTGGGCCTCGCGTTACCAACCGCCAATGTAACTAAACTAACGAAATTGAGTTAGGCACCGTCCGCACATCGCTGCCGCAGCTCCTCGTCAAACTAAATCCACCGCGGCCGGTTCACCCTCGTCCCGCATGTCACTGGCACACAACTGCGAACCAGAGACCTCTCGACTTAACGAAGTAAAATGCGTTAAAGATTTCCAGACACGTCGATTGATTTATTTTCTTTCCTCCATTCTTCCATCCATTCTTTCTTCCCCTTCCGTTCCTCTCTTCCTCCTCCTCCTCCTTCTTCTTCTTCTTCTGTTTCTTTTCAGGGTATTGAGTAAGTTTGGCTTTTTTTATTTCTTTATATTTGAAAAATTGTATAATTTTGATCCTTTCTTCCATACTATCTTCGTACATACTCCTCTTCCTTCTTTCCTTTCGATGGTAGAGAGTAATTTTGATTTCATCCGTTATTTCTTTCTTAAGAATTTTCAATGTCTTTTGTTATCAAGTTAAGTTAAATTTATAGTTTGTGGAATGTTCTTTTGTAAAATGATATTCTACAGTTTTGCCAATTTTAAACAATAACAAACCTGTGGATGGTAATTTCACTTAGAAACTTGAAACGGGTCCATCGTTTCCAGTAATAGCAGCCCGAAGTTGGCAAAGCGATCTAAATTGGCGGAATGCATTCCAAACAGAGTGCGTTTTAGATAGCAGAGATGCAATTCCAACCCGTGGAAAACTATTTCAATTCACTTTCTTTTCACTCTCTGAATAAAAATCTCCATTCAAAAGATTGATACAATTATTTTGCGAGTTCCTTTTTTTTTCATTCTCTTCGATGAATTATTCTTTTCGTGCAATAACAAATTTCGATCCGCGCGTTGTTCCTTCAACACTCGTCGTCGCGAAAAAATAACGCATTACCAAAGTTGATCTTCGCTAAATTGATCTTCGCACCGGCACGCGGATATTTTTCCATCATCCCCAAGGAAATATCTGCGAGCCATTGTGCTGGGCAATCGAGGAAAATTTTCCCTTGGATACTTATCAAAATATTGTGATGGCCAGATACTTTCATTCGAAAATTTGATTCTATTTCACCGAATTTCATACAAAAAAAAAAAACTAATAAATATGGAAAATTCGTATCATTGTAGAATTCTTCAGAGATATTCTTTTCTTCTTTCGTTCATTTCTATTAGTCTAAATCGTGTGAACTGAAAACATTCATCTCGATAAAACAACTAATTCCGATTGCACGATCCATTCCTCCCTTCTTATCAAACAACTCCTCATAAAAAGATCAAGAATTTAATTCTTTCTTCGATTCACTTCCAATCTAAAATCCAATCCAAAACTACGTTAAATTCTTTATCTTAATAAAATTTACCAATTCTCAATACGCAACAACGATCCATCCACTTCTCATTCTCAATTCTCAATTTCCTTTCTCGAAAACCAAAAATTCCACGTTTTCGTGCGAACTCGATCGGTAATTCTCGATCGGTAAAAGTTTAATCGGTATTCACGGATCGTCGTCACGAAACGAAACGAAACGAACATTCGTCGTGGAAGAAACCGCTTTCGTCGTACATAGGCGAAAGTCCGGCCGGATTATTCGGGGATCCGGGTCCGAGATATCGGAACGAACTTGTTGACCGAATGGCGAAAGCCAGAGGCTGATCAATCCGTCCAGTTAGCCGGCCACTTCGACTTCGTTCCTGGTCCGTAGGGCTTAGCAGATTAAGCGGTTCGCGCCGAGTTTGATCGAGTCTTCTAAGTCTTTCATTACGACGTCCCCGAAGAGAGGGTGTGGGTTGGTTTATTATTACGGGCGAGGAGCGGGAACGTCTTGTTTGTTAAACGAGGGGGAGAGAAGAAGAAGAAGACGCGAAGGGGTCACACCGGTGGCATGGTTAGCAGGCTATCTTTAGGGGGTTGAAGAGTTGGGGAATGAGTCACAATGGTCAGAATAAACTGGAGGTAGGCCACGATCGGGTGAATGTCAATCGATGGAGGATGGACAAACGTCTTTATTAACTCTTTGCTCACCCTTCGAGTAGGAATTGTTTGGAGGGGGATAATTAAAGTGGTAATTATTGACTATAAGAAGACGTTTGGAATAAAATTTTAGTTTGCTGTTTGAGCATTTTAATTGTATACAAATTTCAGAATCTTTTAAAAATCCATTAATTAAGGATGTTGGAAAGATTTTTCTCTGTGTAAATTTCTAAAAAATTTTTGGAAACCTGAAAATTAAAAAAAGAATTAATTGGCAACTCTGTCAAAAGGTTTCAGGCAATTTTGTAAAATCGTTATAAAGATTTTATGAGAAAGTAAATGCTTTCGTATTCGTTTCACTTACAAAATAAGATTAATATAAAATTCCTCGTAGAGGAATCTTCAACGATGAGTTAATTGTTTATTAGATTGACGTGATTTCCTTCTTTTAATGAAATTTGTGTCAGAAATGGGTGATCGAGAGAAACCACCACGGAATGTTGATTTATCGAGTTCCGTTTGTTCATTACTATTCATCGTTCGCGATATGCACGGCAATATGCAACTTTGACGCCATCTGACGAATACAAATCTATCTTTTTAACACACGTATACCTAAGCGATAACTATGGACCTGTCATATTCTTTACGGAAGCGTCTAAACTTAACTACGATGAAAAAACAGAATGTTAAATATCGCGTTGAACCGAGCCCATTCAAATAGATGATGGACATATATCATCGCCTTTAATAACGCGCCACGTTTTCTGATTCCAGGTGCGAATCGAGTTAGGTCATCGGCATCCGCTGCTATGGACCACTTCGATGTACATCAGGGTACCCATATTCTTCAGGTAAACGATGCATTTTGCGTTTTTCTTCTCTTTGTTTTCGAATCACGTATCTATAAAAAATAAAAAAAAAGTTATTAATTGATTTATCCTTAAATTTAGAAAAGTAGGGAAAAAAATGTAAGAATAAAATTCAAGAGGAATTTCTTCCAAATTTCTTCCTCTTCAATTCATTTTCGTTCGAATTATTTCATTAATCAAAATCTTTGTAAACTAAATAAAAACTATTAAAATTTCGAAGAAAAAAAAAAAAAAAAGAAAGAACATACTTACAAAATTGCAATGGAAGTCGCAACGAAAAGATAAAATTGCGACAAAGATTCAAACGCAGCATTCCGGAAACTGACAGCGGGAGGGGAGGGGATCTGGAAGTGATCACGAGGTAACCGGGATGCTACGTTGTTCGGTCCCGGGAACAACGAAGAAAGAAAAAAGCTAAAAAGAAGTGTGGAAAGAAACGAAAGAAAAAGATAGAAAGAGGTCGAAGAACGATTGCTCCCATATTTTCCGTTTCAGTCGCTGGACGGGTTCGCGATGGCGGTCGCCGCTGATGGACGGTTCCTGTACATATCCGAGACCGTCTCAATTTACCTTGGACTCTCACAGGTGAGTGTGTAGCCTCACGTTGTATATACGTTCCCTTACGAATCGTCGTTGTAAGCGTGACTCGTTCTCCGGGATGTTGATGGAACCCAGAGCTGGGATGTAGGCAGAGGGGGGGGGTTAGGGGTGAGGCTGGAGAGAGAAAGAAGAGTACAAGTCTAGGGGATGGAGGAAGGAAGATAGAGAGGAGAGAAATACAAGACGAACGAAGGAAGGAAGAAGGCAGGGCGTGGAAGAGATAGGCGGTGGTGGTGGTGCGCGGGGGTGGGTGAAATGAAGCGGAAGACATATAAGACACAG